CAGACCTGACAATTATTCCCGACGCTCACGTCTTGTATTGTAGGTCAGGCAGCCTCCGTGGCTAAAAATAAACATGACGACATTAATGGCCCTTTTTCAAAGCGCGGCTTCGTTTCCAATTTCGCTTTATCACTTGTAGCTTTGAATGTTCTGATCAAATCTTTAAATAAATCACTTGCTTCGTAATATCATACAGTTATGATAATACAGCTTGATGTTTTTGTAAGATAACATTGAGTAATGTTGATCTGGAATCTTCAAACTTACGGAACCAAATAGCACTGTTAGCAGGCGGAGCCGAATGAAGACCGAGTTTTGGAAAATCTCGGTAACGGTCGTCAAATTCAAAATTGTACATGACGCAGCAAAAAGTTCGCCCGTACGATCCGAATATATTTGATGCACAAAATCGTCGTTGAATTTCAAGTTTTCTAAATGAAACAATGAATATTAATTATCAACTCATTTAAAATAAAATTAATAAGTAATTAGCAGTTAATTAAACCTATATTATATACTCGGAAATACTCGGGCGCTATCCGATTGTCGACGAACGACTTCGGCAAACTTCGGAAATTTTCGGAAAAAGGAGGAATTCCTCCCGTTTTTAGTCACGTGACCTAAATTGTAATACATTGTATTACCGGAGGCTACCGGACCTAAGATTCATCAGGAATAGTCGGAATCTTTTGGTCTGGGAACCAGACTAGCTTCACCCTCAGGCGAAAGGATGACTGAGTTCAAATGTCGCCAAAACGACTTGGCGCACCTTCCATAGGTCATACTATTATATGCCACAGGGGAAAACAGTCTTATCGTGCATTTTCTGTTGTTCGGAGGTCTCTGTTTACACGTTGCTAAGGCGACATTTACACGTTGCTAAGGCGACAGTACACAAACAATTTCATGGAATAAAGAGCTCGAACAGTACCCCTATAATATTTCAAGAGTCTGGAAAGTCCCCAAACTGTTCTTTTCACAGTGTGTTAAGCAACTGTGATTGAATATAATTAGAAGCCATAATGGTTATCAATAAAGAGGATTGATTGCATTGGATCAATTACCTGGATTCAGGAGGGAATATTGACTCTACACATTTTTATGTTTTATATTGTCCTGGCCACGTGGTAAACACACCCGGGGCCATCTATCGCCAGATCGTAGTATGGACCATAGTACATCCTTCAGAGGAATGTCGGACACTTCGCCCCATTTCCACGTCGCCCCATGTCACTTCGCCCCTAACCACTTCGCCCCATCCCCACTTCGCCCAATTCCCACATCGCCCCATCCCCACTTCGCCCCATTCCCACTTCGCCCCATCCCCACTTCGCCCCATCCCCACTTCGCCCCATCCCCACTTCGCCCCAGCCGTTACATGTAAAAAAAAAAAATCTCATCTATTTTTTTTTGGCTTAAAAAAACAATTTCAATAGATTCACTAATTGCTAACCAACGGAAAGAATTAGCTCATCACCAAATACAACAATTCATAACCAACCTCTCAAGCTAGGCTCTCCCCTACCGAGAAAAAAGCTTGAAGTAAAAGATCCAACTTTGTTCCCAACCCGGCTATACCAACCCGTTTCCCACTTATCTGAGAACGACAATACCTTTGACATCCTAATTTCACTCTTGGAGGAACCAATCTCATTTAAATGAAGTTGTAAGTGTCACATATCAGACAAATTTTGACGGAACATTTTCCTCAAGGCAGTGAGTTCCTTTTAACTCACTGACCCATACCTACGGGACTCTTTTGAATCCAGCGGCTGACGATTTTATTCACACGCCAATAGGAGAGGCGTCCCTGAATGGGATAGAGCCATCATTTCTCTCATCTGTGTCTCGAGCACCTCATCAGAGAGTTTGTATTTTTCCTGAGTTTCTAGAATTGGGAGCATTTATTATCTGGGGTCTTTGGCAGTTTATTTGGTCTGCACCCCTAGCCTTCACCTTTTTCATACTAAATGGGGCGAAGTGGGGATGGGGCGAAGTGGGGATGGGGCGAAGCGGAGATGGGGCGATGTGGGGATGGGGCGAAGTGGGGATGGGGCGAAGTGGTTAGGGGCGAAGTGACATGGGGCGACGTGGAAATGGGGCGAAGCGTCCGACACCCATTTTGACCATTCGTTTGTGTACTTAAGGTGTGCAGTCCCGTGCAATATTTTTACCGGACTTCGTTTTCGACCTTCCGATTTTTTTTTAATGTATTTTACGCGTTGCTACGAACATTGTTTGGGGAAACCACTGGGAAACAAACATTATTTTACCCTCTAGAAGGCTATTTTTTAAAGTCCAATCTCGTTACAAAACTATATTTTTAGTCATGACACAGTGATGATTTTTTTTTTATGATCATGATTGAATGATAATGGCAACAATTATTTCAAATGTTTTAAATAATTCTTATTAACGTTTATTGCTGAAATCTTTTTTATTTTGGATCGGGATTTAAAAAAAAATATTTGGTTACGAAAATGGTTACAGAACTATATTTCACTTCATTACTTAATTTTAATTTTTTTATTCTTAAATCTAAGAATCTTAGATTTTAGAAGTTAGATTTTTTTAGGGCAATGCACATCATTGTCTGATTGTTTAGTCTCTGTTTATTTTTTTAACTACAAATCAACACTTTCACCATTTACACCATTTTTTAATCGGAACATGTACCTTAAGTTCTGCATGTTCAATCATTAATTACATACGTTTATTTTGTCTTCTTCTTAATTGTGACATTTCAGTTAACTATTTTCTTTAAACATAATTTTTTGTGGTTCATTTTAAGATTTAAAATAAAGTTAAAAGGAATGTAATTATTATTATTTAAGTTATGTATTATTTTTTATAAGGACGTGCAATTTCGCTTTAAAGCTTTTCCACTTTCCAAGCAAATGTTAGAATACTGCACTGAGAAGCATTGATCCATTTTTTTCCCTATTATTTTCTGTCTATTTATTGCATGCAGATGTCAGGTCCAGAGTTGCAAGACTTGTGTAGATTATGTGGGGTTTTGAGGCGTTCGGAATCACATCGAAATCCTACACGGAAGGAGGATGTTTCGAAAATTATTCGAGCTGGCCTGAACATCAACGTAGAAGAAGATGTCACTGGGATTCATCCACCCTACATTTGCCGACCGTGCGAGATGAAGTTGCGGAGATGGTGGGATGCAACAAAGAAAAAGAAGAAGGCCTCCCTCAACATCCAAGTTTCTAATTTTCCAAGGGGTGAAGGGATCTCTTCACAATCGACCACGGCCACGTTGGCGAAAGTTGAATGGGAGGAAGCAGCTCGAAGTGCAGGCCTCAACACATGGTTGACAGATAGTCGTCTTCAAGTCATGAAGATGGATGGTGAGGGTATGCCCTCTGTGTTTTTTACAGTATTTGATGACTGTACGTGGCGTTTGATTGTAGCCGGTATTGTTGCACAAGGGGACCTTCCCGTCTGTTGTGGGCACCCAAGGGTTCTGAGTGTGGAAGATTTCCAGGATATGCTGCGGAAGTTGTCTTCACTATTTGTTTGTGAGGGAAACAAAGATCTTCATGGCGTTGTGGAGGCAAGGAAGGGGGCAGAAGGTCAGATGCCAATCAGGATTACAGCCAATGACATCTACTGTCAGGGGACAGTTAGACACATCAAATGTCTCCTTCTTAGTAATAGGCCCCGGTGTGATGTGTGCATGATTCATCGGAGTGACTTGATGGTCCTTGCAAGTCGGGAGAAAGGAAAGTTGTTCAAGGATGTGTCCGTCGATTCCACAATTCCAAACAAGAAAACTTGACAAATCAACAGCTTCAACAGAAAGTGTCCCTTCTGCAGACCGAAAGGAGAAACCTGAAACGACGAAGTCTAGCCTTGAAGGACAAAGTAGCCTCCATGCTGGAAAAGGAGAATGTGGCGGTTGATGGAATTCAGCATAAGCAGTTATCAGCGACAGTAGGTGATTGTGATGACGAGATGAAGAAAATCCTTGGGTTGAGCTCAGCAAGGCTGTTATGGGAACAGCAAAAGGAGTCGGCTCTGAAGGGCAAACAGATGCGATGGCATCCTGCCATTATCAGATGGTGCATTGCCCTTCAGAGCAAGTCCTCAGCAGGGTATGGTCTTCTTCGTGATTCAGGCTTTCTTAAGCTACCCCACCCGAGCACGCTGCATTCATACAGCCATTTTGCCAGCCTCACTACAGGGTTTAATGCCTCTATGCTTGCCAGGATTTATCAGGACTGGCATCTGGAGACGGTTCCTGAGTTCGAACGCAATGTGTCTCTTCTATTTGATGAAATGAAGGTGAAAGCAGGCTTGGCCTTCTCTGTGAGGTCTGGGAAAATCATGGGTTTCACTGATTTGGGGAGTGTGGCCAACGAGATTGCTGCTTTTGAAAGGAGGTGCAGAGGAGACGAGGAGCCAACCATAGCAACTCATGTCATGGTTCTGATGGTGAGGGGCATTTTCAGTTCTTTACGTGCTCCAGTGGCGTATTTCCCAACTACCGGCATCACAGGCGACCAGTTGTACCCGTGCATGTGGGAAGCTGTTTTGTGGTTAGAAACAGCTGGGCTGAAGGTTCGGGGTTTGGTGTCCGATGGAGCCTCTCCAAATAGGAAATTCTATCGATTACACGGAAAGAGTTCTGAGACGAGTGTGCCAACGTATTGCACTCCGAATCCCTTTGACCCCACCCGGAAAATCTTTTTCCTGTGCGATGTTCCCAATCTGCTGAAAACAACAAGGAACAACTTCGAGAATTCGGGATACAATCGCTAGACAAGGACACTCTGCGTGAGTTTCATGTTTGTTTTCTTTTGTCTTTCATTTTTTGTATATTAACAGCAAGAAAATAGAAAAAAAATCTAAACAGAAATCTATTATAAGGAGTGCTTGGGTATGGGATGCTGAAATTGTGTAATAAAATTGTCCCACATGCATCAAAAAGGTTGTAATTAAAAAGAAACTATAAATTTGTGAGAATTGTTTACAAAATCCAATTCAGAATGCTCTCTGTGGTCCATAGAATTGTTTGATGCAAACAACTAAGTAATATTTGCGCTATTAAGTACATCTATTTATTTTGTGGGCTGTGTTGTGTATTTCTTTCATAGTACCATAAGCAAGACATCAAGTGGACGCAACTTCTTCAGTTGTATGAGTGGGACGTCGGCTTGGATCGCCATTCACCGGGTCTCCGTCGCCTGCACAAGATAACCTATGAACATCTGCACCTAACTCCGTCCCTCAGAATGCGGGTGTACATGGCTGCACAGGTAAGCTTTTAATTGACGTGGTTTTGATTTTACCAATTGATCTCCGTACTAGTGCAAAAAAAAATGATTTAAGTTATTGCATGATTGAACACATGCTTAAAAATCCCCCTTTTAAAAGCACTCAAAACATGGGAACCCCAGAAGGTCATAAACTCTGAAGTTGCAATTTTTTACAAAGCAAAGCCGTCATCAAAATCTATTGGGATTTTTTTGTTTTAGAAATTAAGAAAACAGTTGCAGCGTTGAAGTCTGTTGGCCCACTGGTGGCAACATTGTTTATGCTAAGGTGGCAACTGTACCGTCACAACCTACAGTTCCAGAGTGTACAGACAGTGAAACAGGAAGTATAATCATTCTAATTGATTTTTAGGTTATGAGCTCCACGGTTGCCAACACTCTTGATGCACAGATGAAGGCAGGCAAGGTTGGTCTGGAGTCCACCATCAAATTCATCAGATACATTGATGACTTCTTTGACTGCCTGAATGTCTCCAATGCCTACGATTACGCTCGCCTCAGGAAGCCCAACTTGGAACCTTACATCAGTGCTGAGGATAAAAGATTTGACGTAAGTAGAAGATGTCTCAATGAATGCCAATTGTTGTGTTACTTTAACTGTCTTGTATTACCACAGTGATTTGGTATTACATTTATAATTTTCAGATGATTTCATTTTTTGTCAACAGTGGCTGATGCACGACTTCCTTGGTTTCCTTGATGAATGGGAGGCTGAAGTCGAGTCACACCCAGCCCTGGATAAGACAGCCAAGGCGAAGATGATCCTCAGCAAGGAAACTCTCAAGGGGATGAGAATAACAGGTTAGATCAACAGTGTTTTAGAAACGGTACCAATAACTGCCATCAATCCATCCTGTGTGTGTTCAATACCATATACATTGTGAACTATATTTCCACTGAATGCAGTTAATTGTAACTGTAAAACTTCAAAGTAGAATGTCACAGTCTTGTTTTATTTTACGAAATCTGTGAGCAATGGTTTGCTTGAATCATTTCCCTTTTTGTTTTAAAGTCATCTCTGCAACAAGGTCGTATCTCCTAAAATTGCACTAACACGAAACTCCAGTTTAATAATGTCAAAAGGTTGTATCTCGCTTAAAATAACCCAGATGTGCACACAAAGTAAATGGACGTCGCAATACAACCTTTGTTGCACTGACGCGACGACATGTAAATACACAATCGGGACCAAGGTTTTTGTTTGCTGTAACCAGGGAGGAAGGAATTCCTTCCTTCCTCCATGCATGCTGTACCTAAAAAGTTTGTCTTGACATTGTTTGTACAGTGTATGCATACATGTGTACACGACAGTTGGCTCTTCAAAGTTTTAACACAAATCCCTATTTTGGATTTTCTGTTTCAGTGCATTCATTTGTCGAGCTAGGGAGGCTGCTGCTCAAGCTTCCTGGTGTGACTTTTCTTCTAAGCGAGAAATTTAATCAGGATCCTTTGGAGCAGTATTTTAGCAAGCAGCGTGGCACAGGTGGCTGCAGCGATAACCCGACCGTCGAGCAGTTTGGTCATAACATGCAGGCCCTGTATGTTGCATCCAGCTGCGTCAAAGCTTCGAAGAGAGGCAACTGCAAAGTACAGGGTGCAGATGAAGTGGCTGCTCTTGATAGCACACCTCTTCCTCGGAGAAAGTAAGGAAAGAATGTAGTATCCAGATGTCACTTCAGCGGTTGTGTACAAAGTGTATGGAGAGTTACGAAAAAAAATGTGTATTTCCTTACAATATTGGAAAGTTTTCTCGGCCCCAGATTCATGGCTTTTCAACATTTTCATAATGACTATCCATTATTAAGATGATGTATTAAGAAAAAAGTGGCGCCAGGTTGCAACATTCTTTCCCAAAATAATGTTTTATATCATGCATGATATAGAGACCAAATTTTTCTCACATTGGGTAAAAAAAATACAGTGCAAGGACTGCAAGATTTAACATCTGATACCGTCAAACTGAAACATCAACGGTATGATGCTCATTTCAATTCTTTCGACTTTAACGTATGCTTCCAATAAGCCTAAAATGTTCAGCTTTCTTGTGTAGTGTATGCCAATTATGATGAACCAAAAAAATTGCCATTCCTCATTGAGTTTTTTTAGGAGTCATATCATAAGTGGTTGCAGTAAACCTGTAAAATAACTGACACGCAGAATTTAAATAATTAAGAGGATCCTTCAGTTCATATTCCTTTTCTTTTAATGTGTCACTTTCTGCCACAGTTTGTACAGCATGGATTTAATTTTCATAAATTGTTTCATTGGCATGGTTACTCTGCAAAACTATACATTTGTAAATATCGGTAAGAGTAACATGGGAGTGTCATCTGAGACATGAGGGATTGTACCAAGTCTGTCATATAAATGAATTCAAAGTATTGTAATACATCATACATGTAGCTATACAGTTTTCATTCCCATGTGTTATCACAGGGATAAAGTGATTAGAATCTTGACATTTCTTCTTGTACTACTGATAGAAAGCGAACATTCCAAAGGTTGATTTAACAAAATAGAGACATTCACAAATTAAATGATACCTTGCTGTTAGTGTTTGTTTAATTCAGTGAGTTTGAATGTTCATGCACTAGTATTGCGTGTATCTCTGTTTGGGAAAAAAGCAATTACACGATGGCCGCTGCAATGAAAAGGATCGAAAATGTACAGAAGCACCATTCAAAATACATTGTACAGATGTAATAATAATAATAATAATGTGGGTATTAAGTACAGGGAATATTAAAGGAGGAAAAAATATGTCACATTGCATCTACAAAGGCATGTTTGCGATCAAACCTTTATTAGTATACATGTACATGTATTAACGATACAATTACATTAACAATGAATATGTACAGCACTTGTACTTCGATGCTGTCAGCTGTCAGCATTGAAATGTTATTGCATATCTGTAAAACTTTCGAGTATTGCTACTTGTACACCAAATTCCCTTTAATACTAAATGATAACAAAAAGCCACCTAGAATATAGTAATGCATATTGTGAACTGGTGTATCAGCTTGTTGGGTAGCATGCTTACAATTACAGTTTTGAGATATGGAATCCAGACACTTGATTTACTTGTAAAGTACGATGTACATGTATCAGAATTTACAGATCCTTACGCAGAGCTTTTTCTGCTTTTTTCCCAACATGTCCATGTGTTGCTTTCTTCAAGTTTAAATACACATTGATGAAAGCTTTTGCTCTGATTTTTATCCACTTCTTCACAGTCATGTTCAGTAAGTTTGTTGAAGTGTCCCCTGTTATCTTTCCTTGTGTTAGACTACACCAGTAGGTTTGTACTCGATGACTACCTTTAATATTGTTCAAAAGCGTGCTCTGAATATCACATCCTTGAAATGTTTTTAGATTATTCTTGGTCAAATACTTGCATGTCTCCTGCTCCATGGCTCGGAACAATAAATATACCCCATCAGACACACGAAATAACCCACCACGATTTTGTTTATCAATCCAGTCGTTTGTGTATTGGAAAAATGTCCTTGCAGTTTCATCACTACAGTCTACTTTCCAGGATTTAAGGAATTTACAGTATGTCATAGCAGTGTCATTCTTTTGTTTATTTAAGTTTTTGAACAGAGAAAATGGAATATATCCAGATACATATCTCAAAACCTGTTCCTCCTGAGGACTTAAACTCTCAGACTTTGTTTCAGCTTGGTTGTCAATGGGTTTATCTTGTTTATTTCTATCTTCAATGATAGCCTGTAAAACTGCCTGCAATAGAAATTGGCAAACAAGGTGGACATGCTGCCCCTCTCTGTACAGTCCCATGGCTTGCAAAAGTTCTATCCACTTATCGTTTACCTCCAGTCTGTACTTGTGAAAGGCTCGCCAAAGAATCTCATAGCCTTCTGGTTTAAGATATTTAGAATCTCCGGCTGTTATGACGAACCACAATCCGCTAACTGTAGCCGCGCAGAAATCTTGCAATGCTTCGGTGTTGGTCTTGGCCATCAAGCTCGCCACTAGACTCAGCATGCAGACCGCGGTGGGGTAGACTCCAAGGCAGATTGGGTGCTGCTGCAGCTGCTGTAGTCCAGACATGAAGTAATGGTCAGCTTTCTGAAGTGCATCAGCTTCACAGAACTTTGCCTCGGGACGTTTTACAGCTATTGCAGACAAAATGATTGAAAAATTATATTATTACATTGTGCATACATTGGACTAAACATGGCAGGAGGATTGTGGATTTTAAAACTTTAATTATTTAAATATCATGAAATCTCAATAAGTCAAACTCTGATAACTTAAAACTCCTGTTAAGCCAAACAAAGAATATATTCCCTTCAGAAGTATAACAATGATACAACTTCTCTTAACTCAAAAGTCTGCTTAACTCAAATTTTGAGCTTGTTCCATTGAGATTTGCCAAATCGAGATTTTATGTAAATGTATGTACATGTACATAGTGTTTTGGAGATACAAATGCCCCAAACACATACATGTATTCAAAACATGCATTTCTGTTAAATGTTAAGAAGACATGAAGTATGAATTACTTACCAGGCTTTGGAGGCTTTCGAGCTTTTTTGTCTTTTTTTTTTGCAGATGGCTGTGCGTCTGTGGTCACTGCATCTGTAGTCTCAGATGTCTTCTTTGGTTTCTGTCTGTTTTTTTCCGAGAACGAGGTGGTCTTGAAACTGTAGGATCAGGACCAGGAGATGAATCTGTAGGGGAAAAGATTTTTAAACAAATAAGTCTTGGACATGTTGGATCAGATGCTCTGTAAAATAAAACGGTTCAAACTAAATTATAGGCCTACATCCATGATCCATCTTTGTTAATCAAATTGCATATCTATATCTTTCAATTTTTTTTTATTGAACTATGGTGCTTGGCAAGTATTCAAGTGGGAATAAATATAAAAAAAATATGAACAACAATTGACACTAACGACAGCGAAAGAACTAAAGAAGGAATTATTTTTAGCCAAAATAAAAATACATGTCACAATTTTTCATGTTGACCAAAATCACTGAAGTGAAGTATTTTTTCTTCTGTTTATTATCTTCGCTATACTTTTACCACATAGGCCTACCTATTTCTTCAGTCGTTCCAGGGAGGCATCGACTACAAACCCAGGTGTCTGGGATTGTATCGGCACAAACACCGGCGCAGCTATAGTGCCACCACACAACGGTGCACTGATCATCATCGCACGTTCGCGCACGCGATCATCTCCATGGTTGAAGGCTCCCCACGCACACAATACTGCCGACCGTCATCTTCGGACTCGTAGTCGAGTTCTGCCACCTCATTTTCATCGAATTCTTCGTCAGAAACGTCGCTCAAATCGCTCAAATCGGAGCCCGTAACAAAATCGTCCGCCCTTACCGTACGCCGCCATTTTACAACATGGCGCGGGCGCAGTACGCATGCGTGGCAATCCCATAATGCTTTGTGGCGAGTGTCCGGGCTGCGGTCGCGACCGCTAATTGATTTACTGATAGCGCTCGCGGGTGTTTATCCGATCTGGACTGCTGCTGTTTTTACGACCGCGGCAACGAACCCTGAATCTTTGATCCTATGGTCGTTTAAACTCCAGTTTTTATAGCGATTGGTAATCGATCCCCGCGGCGTGTTATAGAGCCGATCTAGTACACCTGGTACCCTGCTGCCTCTACACGACCTAACCGCTACAAACGCCCGGCGTCCAAAAGTCTACTGAAAAACCACCTCCCTCCCATGCCACAGTGGGTCTATATACACGGACATGACGTACATGTACAGTACCTTAACAGGGGACGAAGTTGGAAAAGAAACACGTATCGCGATATCGGAACGCTAGCGCGTAGTTCAGGCAAGTCAAAAGATCTTTCTTTGTTTGTTTTTTTCTTTTTTTTCCATGGAAAGTGAATTTCGATTTTACAACATGGCGCGGACGCAGTACGCATGCGTGGCAATCCCATAATGCTTTGTGGCGAGTGTCCGGGCTGCGGTCGCGACCGCTAATTGATTTACTGATAGCGCTCGCGGGTGTTTATCCGATCTGGACTGCTGCTGTTTTTACGACCGCGGCAACGAACCCTGAATCTTTGATCCTATGGTCGTTTAAGGGTGCAGACCAGTAAATCGGTCCGAAATTGCCTGCGCCGGCCAAATCACGATTTGCATGCCCTCAAAATCTTCGGTATTTGGGCATGCTTTGGGCCATGAACTTGAGGGTTTGTAAAAAATATGGGTGGAAGCCGTGCACAGGACTGGGAGCTTGCAGTTCTGTGTAATTTTGATGTAATCTGGACCCTAAGAGCGCTCTATTTTGCAATGGAGTGTAGGCATCGTTTTTCAAAATGGCGCTGGGCTTCAGGACTATTTTCAGGGGTGATCATCTTCAGATGGAAATTTCTCCTAAAAGTCATCAGTTGACCCCCCGAAAATTGAAAAGAAAATGAAAGATGATGAAATAAGATTTAATTTGATGTGCGTCTCGAACACCTTGGAGAGTTGTGAGTATTTTTCCCGAATTTTTGAAGTGGGAGCATTTACCATTGGGGTCTATGGGAGTTTATTTACTGGTCTGCTACCTGTAGTTTCAAAATGGCGCCTTCCATCGTTTGTTGTCAAATGTTTGCGGAGTGTTTTTTTTCAGGGGGGCGGAACCTGTGGGGGGGGGGGGGGCAGCGTTTCAAAAGGGGTCACCAATGGCGGTTCCGCAACAAATGCGCCCAAAATCTGAATAGGGCCGATGGACTGTCGTCCGATCACAGCAATTTCGAGCGAACAAGGGGGGGGGGTTATTTGGGGTCGGAAGGAGCAAAAACTCAATTAACGCCCGTTGGGGGCGCCCTACAGTAAGGTAGCCGCAAACAGAGGGCTTGTTTTCAGGCCAGAAATCGCAGTCAGAGATTTTTTTTCTTGCAATTTTTTGATGAAATATGAGTCATCCATCCTTCCTCGTGCCGTACAAGTGGTTTGGGGAAATTTTTCAAAACCTCGCTTCTCTATATAGTTTCAAAATGGCGCCTTCCATCGTTTGTTGTCAAATGTTTGCGGAGTGTTTTTTTTTTCAGGGGGGCGGAACCTGGGGGGGGGGCGGGGGGGGGGCAGCGTTTCAAAAGGGGTCACCAATGGCGGTTCCGCAACAAATGCGCCCAAAATCTGAATAGGGCCGATGGACCGTCGTCCGATCACAGCAATTTCGAGCGAACAAGGGGGGGGGGGGGTAATTTGGGGTCGGAAGGAGCAAAAACTCAATTAACGCCCGTTGGGGGCGCCCTACAGTAAGGTAGCCGCAAACAGAGGGCTTGTTTTCAGGCCAGAAATCGCAGTCAGAGATTTTTTTTCTTGCAATTTTTTGATGAAATATGAGTCATCCATCCTTCCTCGTGCCGTACAAGTGGTTTGGGGAAATTTTTCAAAACCTCGCTTCTCTATAGGGTGCAGACCAGTAAATCGGTCCGAAATTGCCTGCGCCGGCCAAATCACGATTTGCATGCCCTCAAAATCTTCGGTATTTGGGCATGCTTTGGGCCATGAACTTGAGGGTTTGTAAAAAATATGGGTGGAAGCCGTGCACAGGACTGGGAGCTTGCAGTTCTGTGTAATTTTGATGTAATCTGGACCCTAAGAGCGCTCTATTTTGCAATGGAGTGTAGGCATCGTTTTTCAAAATGGCGCTGGGCTTCAGGACTATTTTCAGGGGTGATCATCTTCAGATGGAAATTTCTCCTAAAAGTCATCAGTTGACCCCCCCCGAAAATTGAAAAGAAAATGAAAGATGATGAAATAAGCTTTAATTTGATGTGCGTCTCGAACACCTTGGAGAGTTGTGAGTATTTTTCCCGAATTTTTGAAGTGGGAGCATTTACCATTGGGGTCTATGGAAGTTTATTTACTGGTCTGCTACCTTAAACTCCAGTTTTTATAGCGATTGGTAATCGATCCCCGCGGCGTGTTATAGAGCCGATCTAGTACACCTGGTACCCTGCTGCCTCTACACGGCCTAACCGCTACAAACGCCCGGCGTCCAAAAGTCTACTGAAAAACCACCTCCCTCTCATGCCACAGTGGGTCTATATACACGGACATGACGTACATGTACAGTACCTTAACAGGGGACGAAGTTGGAAAAGAAACACGTATCGCGATATCGGAACGCTAGCGCGTAGTTCAGGCAAGTCAAAAGATCTTTCTTTGTTTGTTTTTTCTTTTTTTTCCATGGAAAGTGAATTTCGATTTTCAATTACTTAGCTTGACCCACCCCCACCCACAATTTGGAAAAAGATCGAAATTTTAAAACATTGAAAATTCTGAATGGCCCCTAACAAGCAGCCTGCTGTTCGAGTTATATTTTACTTGCACAGGACTCTTTCAGCCAGCCTGCCATTGCAGGGTGAGTTATTTACTGTTTTTGCACACTCCTTGCACGTTATTTCGTGGTGCAAAAACGTTTCTAATGTGTTCAAGTTTTGACAAGTTGGCAATGAGCGCTGTGGACTTTCGAGCATGTACACATGTGCACATGCACTGTCGAGTTCACTGCGTGGTACTTTCGGTGTGCATACATGTACATGTACATAAACTATGAATTACGTTGTGTACATGTATGCCTTTGCTTTAGGCGCTGAGTGACTGATGTTGCAGAGCATTTACAGGCGTTTAAGTTCTCCTCCCCTTGGGCTGCACCGTTCTTTACATAGTACTCTACCGGTGACTTGTGGTCTGGGTAAGAGTCTTAATAGATTGTCGAGATGAGTAAATTATATTTTTCTTTGGTTACATATTAATGAATATTAATTATAAAGTGCCTATTTATTTTCCAGAATGATAAACATGCAAGTTTTATTTATTTACTCTGGTTTTTGTAGGGTCTTTTATGCACTTGGATCTTTATGGGCTGGATCTTTTGATGATTGAGTTGGAGAAATAAATCGGCATTGAAGATTACTTTCGAGTCTGCTCTTGTGAGTTCCATATCCTCAAAACTGAGGGTCTTGCCTGGACCCTGATTCCAGAGTCAGGGATATCCTCACAATAACAAGAGTGCAATCGAATTTGATGGAAATACCTTATTTTTTAGCTCAATTATCAACCTTTCAGGCATCATAAATATCTCAATTTATTAAAGAAATTGCACAAATGAAAGACAATTGCACAATGGGCGAACAGTATCATGTTTAACTGTTTGAAGCACCATTGGAAAGGAGTCAAAATCACTTCTTTAGCATAATTGGCATTCATAATAATTAGCACTCAGCAACCCGTTGTGCTGTTTTTATGATTTTTTTTTGGAACATGTATTTGAAAGAAAAAACTCTCAGCTTAATCTGATATTTAAAACTAAAAAAAACACAGATCCCGATTTAAAAAAACAAAAACCGCAATTTGCATTTTTGGGGTCACCCTGTATAGGAGGCTATTTGTTTTTGACTGGGAGGGAAGACAGTAAAGGACCGACTGATTAAAAAAAATATTCATGTACGCCCTCAATTTGCCTTAAAAACGTCGACATCAATCAAATATGAAATCCAACACTGAAAGTGTGTGTTTACAAAGAAGCCTACAGTTGAATAAATAAAATAAGGAAACAAAACG